GAGCCCAGGGACGGCGGTGAGCGTGTCTGGTGCCGGGAGGCGGAGTCGTGAGCGGCACAGACCAGCAGGACCCGTGGCTCCTGGGACCGGGAGGCCATCTGAACAGCGTGCAGAGGACGAGAGGTCGGAGGGCGAGCTGTCGGAACCCGATGCGGGGGCGACGGCTGGCCGCTCTACAACGGTGGATCGTGAGCGCGCGGCTGAAGGGGCATCTCCTGGGCAGCCTGGTGAGTTACCTGTTCTGGGGTCTATCTCTTTTTCTTCTGCGTTACGGGACCTGCTGGGGGGTGGTAGGGCCGCTACGGTGGGCGCGGCCTCTGCGGCGTGCACTGTCGGCGTTCCCCCGTCGGGTATGGGTGGGGGTCTCGATGCTGTGATTTCCGGTTTGCGGGACCTGCTGCGGCGTCTTGAGTGGGGCGGTGGTGGGGAGCTTGGGCCTGCTTCTGCGTGGCTACCGCCGGATGGTGGGGAAGGTTTCGGGGTTCTTGTACAGGACAGCGGGACGTGCGGCGTCCGAGGGTCTCTTCTCCTCCGGGGTCTGGGCTAGGGGTTGTTCCGGCCACGACAGGTGATTGGGGTTCTGTGGCCCCCTCCGCGGTGTTGGGTGCGGTTTCAAGGGTGTCCAGGCCTGTTGGCTTGGCGGACTCGGCCAGGGGCGAAGTGTACGGGGGTTTTGAGGGCCCTTTGGGGCGCACTTACAGTCAGAGGTATGGGAGAAGATTTGGAGTGGGGAGTACGTTGATATATTCTCGCTCTTGCCTTTGGAGCGTTTTCCTTTTGAAGGGTCCCGGGTTGACGAGAGTAGGCGGGTGGAAGCGGAGCAGCGGCGTTTTTTTTTTTTTCGTTTTATCCCGCGTGCCTTTGCAAATTGGTTGCAGGCGTTCGCGATCTTGGCTAGTGTGATTGGGGAGAAGGCTCCTGAACATTGCTCGGCACTGGTCTGTTACCTTGATGCCATTGGTGAGGCTCACAGGGTTTAGGGGGGTACTGCGTGGCTTCGGTACGATAAGCAGTTTAGGCAGCGGAGGGCGGTTCGCCAGTTGTTTCGTTGGGATTATAAGGACATTGACATCGGAGAGGGCCCCTGGTTCGTTTTTTCAGAGCGGGGCCGGCGGTTCGTTCTCCCCGGGACAATCGGCCTCCAGGCGTCAGGGGTTCTGCTGGCAGTTCCAAGAGGGGACGTGTCGATTTGGTGGGTCATGCCGTTTTGGGCTCGAATGTTCCGGGTGCAGGGGCTCCCATCTCTTGTCGCGCTGTTTGCAGCGGGGTCGAGGCCTTCCCGGAGAGCATGCTGGTAAGAGGGACGACTCTGGTGCGAGTGGAAAGGATGGGGCCTTTCTTAAAGGGGTTTCCTGATCGGGCAGCTGCAGTGCTGCTGATGGCGGGTTTTTCGGAGGGTTTTCGCATCCCGGGTACTTTGACTTTGATTCCTCCCTTAGCTCGGAATTTGCGGTCAGCCTTGAGGCATGTGGAGGGGGTTTCGGCTAAGTGGCGTAAGGAAGTGGGGTTGGGACGCATGGGGGGTCCGTTTGCTTGCGCTCCGTTTTGGATTTGGTGGTTTCTCCCTTGGGGGTTGTGCCCCGGAAGGAGCCGAATGCGTTTAGGTTAATTTCCCACCTGTCCTTCCCTGAGGGGGGGGTCGGTGCATGATGCTATTGATTCGGAGTCGTGTTCGGTGTCTTACACGTCTTTTGATGTGGCTGTTTTCTGGGTCCGTCGGTATGGGCGCGGTGCGCTCATGGCGAAATCGGCCGTTGAGTCGGCGTTTCGGCTGTTGCCAGTCCATCCGGACAGTTTTTGTTTTTTGGGTTGTCATTGGCAGGGCTAATTTTACGTTAATAAGTGCCTTCCTATGGGTGTTTCTATATCTTGCGCTTTGTTCGAGAAGTTCAGTTCATTCGTGGAGTGGGTGGTGCGGGATGTCTCGGGTGAATTCGGTCATCCAATATTTGGATGATTTTCTTTGCGTGGGTCCGCCAGATTCCGGAGTATGTGCAGTTTTGCTGGCCACTTTGCAACACGTTGCGGTACGTTTTGGGATTCCTCTGGCGGTGGATAGAACTGTGGGCCCGGCTACGGTGATGACTTTCTTGGGCATTGTTTTGGATTCCGGCACGATGGAGTGCCGCTTGCCTGAGGTTGAGCTGGTGGCTCTACAAGGGGAACTCCGTGGGGTGCTGGGGCAAGCGGGAAATTCAGCTGCGGGCCTTACAGTCATTGTTGGGCAAAACTTAACTTCGCTTGTCGGATTCTGCCCATGGGTCGGGTGTTCTGCCGCCGGTTGGCGGCGGCGATGGCAGGGATTACCTCCCCTTTACATTTTATTCGGTTGACTCGGGATCATCGGGAGAACTTGCATTTGTGGCACACCTTTTTGGATTCGTTTCATGGGCGGGCTCTCTGGATGTCTGACCCTGTTAGCAATTTTGACTTGGAATGGTTCACGGACGCGGCGGCGTCGGCGGGCTATGGGGCTTTTTCCAGGGTCGATGGAGTGCGGCCTCGTGGCCTGCTTCCTGGCAGGAGGCGGGTTTTCTTTGCAACTTGGTGTTGTTGGAATTTTTTCCGGTGGTGTTGGCGGTTGAGGTTTGGGGAGAGAATTTTTCGAAATCTAAACGTGCGTTGTCACTGTGACAATTTGGGGGGTGGTCATCAATCGGGTCTCAGCTTCTTCACGACCGGTGGTGGCCTTGCTTCGCCATTTAGTGTTGCGTTGTCTGCGTCTGAATGTTTTCTCCATGCGCTGTGTCTCCCTGGGGTTGATAACACCGTGGCTGATGCTTTGTCTCGCTTTCGGTGGGACAAATTCCGATAGGTGGCGCCGGCGGCAGAGCAACACGGGGTTCCTTGTCCCGACGGGCTGTGGGAGATTGCCTTGGAGTCCTTGCGGGCTGGATCCAGCGTTTCGGTGAGTAAGGCGACTTGGTCTGCATACTCTAGAGTCTGGCGGGAGTGGCTGGATCTGCTACAGCAGGTTGAGATTGCTCCCTGGGGGCCGGAGGTGGTTTTGAAGGTATTGTACTTTGTGACGGAATTTTGAGCGGGGGGTGTCGGCTGCTGCGGTGGATCGCCGACTGGCGGGTTTGGCATTCTTCTTTCAGTTGCAAGGGTGTCGGGCTTTCACTGAAGATTTTTGGGTTCGGCAGGCTCTCCCCGGGGTTACCGGAGCGCTCATCGCTGTAAGGATTCTTGTCGTCCGGTGTCTTTTGAGTTGCTGGGGTCTTTGTTTGTGCATTTGTGGTCTGTGTGTTCTTCGGACTTTGCGGTGTGCTTATTTCGGGCGGCTTTTGCGGTGGCCTTTTTTTTGGGGGGCGTTGCGTATTGGGGAGCTCGTTAGTCCGTCCAAATCGGTTCTTGCGGGGTTATTGGTGGATGAGGTCAGGTGCTCCGGTGAATGGGTGGAGGTGCTGGTACGTCGGTCTACGTCGGACCAATTGGGATGTGGTTGTCGGGTACGTTTTTCGTTCTTCCGGCTTCGCTGGTGTGCCCAGTGCGGGCGGTTCAGGAAATTTGTCCCGTCGTCCAGTGGGCCAGGGGTGTTTTTCAGGCATGCTGAGCGGGAGCTGGTGCGAGCTGTCAAGCTGGACTTTCTTCAGTTGCGGCGGGCTTATCCGGGGATGGTGGTGGTGTGGTCCGACATTGTCGCCCGTACCTCTTGGCGTTGGGCGCGGTCGGTGGAGAGGCTCAACAAGGCTCGGATCAAGGTTAACAGAGAGGTGGGGCGTTTCTTTAGTCACCATGGGGGTTGGTGGTCCGGCACTTGGAGTTGGAGGTGGATACTTGGCGGTATCTCAGGTGCGATGGGGTGCATTTGAATGCGGTTGGGACGGATTTATGGTCCCTGGATCTGCAGGATGGCATACAGCGGGCTGTTCGTTTGTGGCGTGGCACGCATGGGTAAGGGCTTACCCAGCGCGCTGTGGCGGTTGTTGGTCTTTGGAGGTGGTTCTTATTTGGAAGGTAAACAACAATGGTGTGGGACCCATCCGTGGTATGGGATGCCCGGGGACATTCCCAGTTAACCAAGGTTTAACTGGAAGGTGGTGGTGCTGCACTGCGGACGGTATGGTTGTCTCCGAGCTGGTTGGTTGCGGCTGGAGGCCTAGTGTATATGGTTGTCCGCAGGTGCATTTCGGATCATTTTGGGGTGCCTTCGAAGACCAACAACAATTCTGTGGAGTTTCTGTTATAAGGAATGGTTGGTGTATTGTAACTTGAGTTGTTAATAAAAGGCCATGTTGGCCATTTACTCCAAAATTGGTGTTCTGTCTTTTGTTAGTATAATTGGTTAAGGGGAAGGGGGTTGGCGCGGAACGGTAATGGTGGTAATGGGGAAGTGGACGAGCCTATCTCTGGTGCAATAGTCAAGTTTTCAGTTGATGGCACGGGCACCTTGAAGTGATGATCTGTAACACTTTAATGCTCAAATTATTATAAATATTATGTTTATGGTGTCCCTATGGGGAAATCTGGTGGTTAGGTAGGCACCTTCTGAGCACCAAGGGATTACCTCAGTCTCCTCAGGTTGTGAAGGCTATATTTGAATTTTGTATTAATACACCACACTGAAATGTTTGAGCCTAAAATGCAGTTTTTTGTTGTTTTTTTTTTTATTTCAGACATTACTATGCAAAATCCAATACATTTTGGGTGTCAGACATCATCTCCTTCATTAGGGCCAACAACATTACATAAAAAGTGAAAATCAAAATACTCATTTGGCAATGTTTAAAAGAAATAAGTTAGTCATATACCGTATTTTTCGCTCCATAAGACGCACCTGACCATAAGACGCACCTAGGTTTTAGAGGCGAAAAACAAGAAAAAAATATTCTGAACCAATGGACTGCAGACATAGTACAGGAGATGATCAGAGACTGCGGACGTAGCACAGGAGATGACCAGAGACTGCGGACGTAGCACAGGAGATGACCAGAGACTGCGGACGTAGCACAGGAGATGACCAGAGACTGCGGACGTAGCACAGGAGATGACCAGAGACTGCGGACGTAGCACAGGAGATGACCAGAGACTGCGGACGTAGCACAGGAGATGACAAGAGACTGCGGACGTAGCACAGGAGATGACCAGGGACTGCGGACGTAGCACAGGAGATGACCAGGGACTGCGGACGTAGCACAGGAGATGACCAGGGACTGCGGACGTAGCACAGGAGATGACCAGGGACTGCGGACGTAGCACAGGGAAAATACCAGGGACACAGTACAGAGGACCAGAGACTGAAGACAGTGCAGGGGATGATCAGAGACTGCGGAGGGAGGGAATTTGACAGGTACCTGAATTTGACAGGTACACGCTCCCACTTTCGCGGAGTTGTCCTTCCCTCTTCTTCCCACGCCGGCTTCTGTGACAGCCGGGTGCCCACTGCGCATGCTCGAGAAGCGCTGCCCTTTGTGAATGGCCCTGCGCCTTCTGGGACTTGTTATGGGTCCCAGAAGACACCGGACCATTCACAAAGCACAGCGCATGCGCAGTGGGCACCGGGCTGTCACAGAAGCCAGCACGGGAAGACTGTACAGCGCTGGAACAAGGAACAGGTAAGGCCCTGCAGGAGAGAACAGCTGAGCGGCCGGCCCGATATCCTGACATGGTGGCGACAGAAATACCGGACCGTCCGCTTTATATTCGCTCCATAAGATGCACTGATATTTGCCCCCCTTTTTTTGGGGGGAAAAAAGTGCGTCTTATGGAGCGAAAAAGATGGTAAATATATTTATATATACCAGGGGTGGCGAACAAGTTAGACACAAAGAGCCAAAATTTTAAACTGTGAAAGTCAGAGAGCCACACCACGCAGTGACCTGCCAAAACAGACAAACACACAAAAACACATAATTAAAACCATATTATTCACCATAACACTTTCTTCCCCTTACAAAACAACAATGTGTTCATTTCAAGGTAAATGTCCACCCTCAACACACACATCAAATGCAACTTAGCCAGAGTTAACACATCAACTACCCTGGAGGTTGCTGTGGCACCTGTCGCTCTCTCTCTCCCTTCTCTCTCTCACTCTAACACACAAGTATACAAAAAAAAATTCTGAACTAATGGACTGCAGACACAGTACAGGAGATGACCAGAGACTGCGGACAGCACAGGGATGACCAGAGACTGCGGACAGCACAGGGATGACCAGAGACTGCGGACAGCACAGGGATGACCAGAGACTGCGGACAGTACAGATGACTGCTGACCTGTGGGGAGGTGGGGAGCGGGTACCTGAATTTGACAGGTACCCGCTCTTACTTCCGCAGAGTTTTTGTTTGAAATTACCTGTTCCTTGATCCAGCCGCGCGCTGTCTTCCCGGCTTCTGTAATGGCGCTCGGCATGACAGTCGGGTGCCCAGTGCGCATGAGCGAGAAGCACTTGCGCTTTGTGATTGGTCCGGTGGCTTCTGGGATCTGTCATGTGTCCCAGGTACCGCCTTTACCATTCACAAAAAGCACCGCTTCTTGCGCATGCGCACTTGGCACCCGGCTGTCATGTCCAGCGCCGACACTACAGAAGCCGGAAGACAGCGCGCTGCTGGATAGAGGAACAGGTAAAAATAAGAGAAACCTGAAACTTGGCAAACCTGAAACTTGGCAAAGAGCCACAGTATACAAAATTTATGATAAGAGGCAAAGAGTCGCATTCATTTTGGCCGGGAGCCGCCCCTGATATATACCGTATTTGCCTGCGTATAAGACGACTTTTTACCCCTTGAAAATCTTCTCAAAAGTCGGGGGTCGTCTTATATGCCGGTATACTGACGGCATACTGACGGTATACGGCCGCCACCCATTCCCCCCCCCCTCCCAACGGAAGGGACACTAAGTACAGGGGTGGGCAAGGGGCTGTTTGTGATACCTGGCTCCGGTCCCACGACGATCCGGTCCAGGAAGCGCGGCTGCTCCTTCAGTTCGGCCACTGGATGTTCGCGCGGGACTGCTCGGGCCGGATCCGCCTCCTCACCCGTGATTGGCCGCCAGAACTTTAGCTCAGGAAAAGGCACACAGGCGGCCAATCACCGGCGAGGGGGCGGAGCCGACACCAATCTTTCCTCCACTGAACCAATGATGGGCACTATTCCTTCCCACTGGCCTAGGAAGAGAGGTAGTTCTTATACGGCGAGTATAGACCAAAACACTAAATGATGGTGCCCTTATAATTTATTCTTAGCGGAAATAGCAAATTCCATGCTTTGTATGGTGCCCGGCACAGCATAAAAAATTAGAGCAGGTTGTGCCACCTTCAATGGCACTCAGAGGTTTTAAACTCCTCATAGGAAAGGGGGAAAAATACTGGAGTGGCACTTATAAGAAAGTCCCCTGGGGTAGGCGTAATGGTAGCTGGAAGCAGGGCCACTCTGACTACAAAGAACAGGAGAGAAGAAGTGATTGGAAGAGGAAAACATGTGCAGAAAATGATAGGCTACTATTGCCCCCAAATCTTTAAAATGGCAACCAAAACCTGACTGGAAGAAAGCAAAAAATTACCAATGAATGGATAGAAGAATTGCGTGAAAATCGAGTGCAGGAGCAGCAGGTAAGTGTTCAGTGTAGAGGTGCTGCATGCAGCCATGCAAGAGGAAATGCCCTTGATGGGTGTTCCAACAAGACAATGGCCGTAAACAACATCTTGGTTCAGCAACCATGGAGTGGCTAGAAATCAGGTCAGCAAGTGTAATTGGTGTCAGTGGAATACCTGGAGGAAGTACTTGCCCCATGTACATTCTCAGAAACCGTTTATACAACTAAATATTAAGTGATTCAAAGGAAAGCAAAATCTTCAAACATGTTTTGAATTTTGAGTTTGTAATACAAACACTGCTGAATGTGTTTTTTAAATTTTTTTTGAGGAACAACACAAATTTGTATCCATGTTTTGATTTGGAATAATGCATGCATTTGTGTGTATGGAAATAAAAGCTATTAGGATTTTGAGCTTTACTCTTTTCAACACACTGCTATTATTTTGAACACAACTGTATATATAACTCTTTTTTATAGGGTAGTTCTTCTCTTTTGACGGTATAGATTTTTTGACCATGCTGAATGAAAGAGCATGTGAGGCAAAATGCCTTTTTGCACTGGTACATACCAATCAGGGGAATGAGTGTCATTTTTGGTGGGGTTTCTGGGATACGTTTTTATCCTGCTAGTGGCTATTTTGCTTTTTATATTTCTAGCCATCTGATAAGAGACTTTTGGATTTTTTTGGAATTGATGTATGTAAAAATGGATCTTGCAACAGAATGGACCAATGTTTATGCAATATATTTTCCATTTTGTTTATACTGAATGTGACACTGGATAATGAAACGAATCGGTTGTATGTTGTTACCTAGTGCTACTGTATCAGACTTGTGGACTGGTTTATTGTGGTATTGTTGAAATGCGTTTTTAATGAGAGGGGCGGGATATCCTTTTTATCCAAGAATTTTTTTGCTAAAATGTCTCCTTGTGTGATGTAGTCATCTTCCCTAGTACAGTTTGTCGACAATATTGGCTTTTTGGGATATTCCCAACCCAACTAGGATGGTGGCAACTCCGATACTGAATATATGAATTGCCAGCTGTGGGCTTGACATAATTTTTGGAAAAACTCTTGCCATCCTCATGGCAAAGAAATAAGTCTAAGAAAGCTAAAGTGTGAGGATCTTGCACATAGGTAAAGGATAGTCCTAGGTTATCCAGGATATCCAGGTCTTGTGGTCAGTGGTCCAGCTATTTCATCTTCCACTTCTTTTAAATCTCCCACAGGACTGGTCCCACTGGAAAGATCCAGCTCCAGCAAGTGATCCAGCTCTCTGTGCCAAAAATGAATGTGTGCCCACCATTGACTTGGCATACCACCAGGGCTCTACCAACCCCTCAATGGGATACAGACATGTGCATAGAAAATGGGCAATCTATGCAGGGATCACAGGCCCGCCACCTTTCCCACAGGAAGCCGCCCAAAAAAAAGTTATTCACAAAAACACATACAACATACATATAGAAAGCACAAGTGAATCCTAATGGAGACCCAAAGAATGAAGAACATAAAATTTAATATCTATAGTCTTTGTGGGAATGCAGGGATACCATTCTAACTTGTTCACAGGATATTATATAAGTATATAATATAATTACACGCATATATTATCCAATATTATGTTTTGAAACATCAGCATGTTAGAGGAAGTTTTAGAGGATGCAAAACTTAATTGGTATTTAGGACCAATTTTCTCTGTAGCATTTAATAAGTACATCTATTTTTGTTTCTGCTTCAAGTAACTTTTTGTCAAAAATTTTTCCCCAGGGTTTAGGAAGATTTTCTATTCAGAGCTGTGAATGACAAGTTTTAAGAATATTATTTATGAAACTGGACTAAATGTCTGCCTGTTGGGCTACAAAAGTTACCTTTTGGTGATATCATAAATATGAGCATAGATTCTTTTCCAAAACTGCCATACACAATGTTGTGTATTGTTCATGATACTGTAGATTTCTAACAGTGTTTGTTTTTTCTTTTTGCTTAGATTTTGAAAAGGCTTGAAATAGTTCTGGACATTTTAAAGTTTTTAGCTCATTTTCATAATTTCTAGCTTCTTATGACAATTCTGACAAAGTTTAAAACTGGCATTAGTTGAGTGTAGAATTTTTTAGAATTGTTTGCTTATTCCTCAGGTAACATTTCAGTAGTTTGGTCCTTTTTAACTGGTGATTACATTTTATACCCATAGTCTTCCCAAAGTTCTGTAAGTTGTTTAAGCATTTTATAATCCGGCAGGGTGAAATCATTTCAAACTAAAAGCAAACCCTGTAAGGGTACTTCCTGTTATTTAAGGGCAGTCCCTTTTTTATATGAGAGTTCAATTTCCTGGCAAAAAGGTGGATGTCTTTAATTTTATTTTTTTTATACTTCTTGTGGGACACAAATTCAGATATAGTCACAAAATTTGCTCTTCTACAGATGATTGTTGACCAATGATTTATTGGTCTTTGCAACAAACAACAAAATGTTAAAGAACAAACATTGTAACCATTACATGTCCAATCTGTACCAGGTAGCATACAGAAATATTATCTTGCACATAAAAACAACATACATTCCAAAGTTGTAACAATACATGTTCCAAATGTATAGTACTGGTAGGTGTATTTACTAAAGCTGACCGTACATCGAATTTGATTGAAATTAGATACCAAAAATATCAGTTCGGCAGGGACTGGCTCAATTTTGATCCATGTACGAGCAGGCTGGTTGTACAGAAGTTGATCTACTTCTGTCCAACAGCCTGTCAGGTTTTTCTTAATTGATCAGTGCAATGATCAGTGAATTCTAATGGTGGGGAAATCTCCCCACTCTCAGAAAATGAGTAATTTAGGGGCTCTTTGTGTGTGCAACTATGGACAATCCTGAATAATAGTGTGATACTCAAAGGGACCACATTTTATCCATTTGTTTAGGGCAACCACAAGCTTCATAGGTACTTTTTTACAATGATAAGGTTAGCACTTCCGCCTGGCAGTATTAGGGTCGCTGGTTCGAATCCCAACCACGGCATCACCTCCCTGGAGTTTGCATGTTCTCCCTGTGCCTGCGTGGGTTTCGTCCCACACTCCAAAGACATGCTGGTAGGTTAATTGGCTCCTGTCTAAATTGGCCCTAGTATGTGTATGTATGAATTGGAGTTAGGGACCTTAGATTGTACACCCTTTGAGGGTTAGGGACTGATGTGAATGTAATATATATGTAAAGCTCTGCGTAAATTGACGGTGCTATATAAGTACCTGAAATAAATAAATAATTAACAAGTTGCAACCAACAGTTGATGGAGGGGAATCTGTAGACTTTCGAAGGATTACTATAGCCTTCTTAGCATAAGAGAGCAAGAAATGCACTACCGATTTTGGTATGGGAGGCAGGGTAGATTCCTCAAGATCCCTGTAGATTCCTCATAGTTTTATGGATATTACCTCACCTATCTTTCCAAATTCATATTCATTGGGAATTTTCCATATATTGCCAAATGTATTGGACCAGCCCTCCAAATCATTGGATTCAGGTGTTACAATCACCTCCATGGCCACAGGTGTATAAAATCAAGCACCTAGGCATGCAGACTGCTTCTACAAACATTGGTGAAAGAATGGGTTGCTCTTAGGAGCTCAGTGAATTCAAGCGTGGTACCATGATAGGTTTCCACCTGTGCAATAAGTCCATTCATGAAATTTCCTTGCAACTAAA